TTATAAAAAGTGATAGCTAACGTAAACAGCTATTGTATGTGCATGTACTTTTCGTCGTTTCACGTCACCTAACCTTAAAATTATAAGTCTAGTCGATTGAGTCTTTCTGAATCCCATAATTCACTTCGAACAAAAAAAGGCTATATGCAATTTCATATTTTTAACATATCTATTGTTATATTTATGTATCTACTTATGTAGGTCATTTCGACTATCGTTATCAATAGAATATCCTATGAAAGTGGTTTTGCAATTGCATATTAAAAGTGTACAGCTTTATATAGAGCGTGTAATCTGCTTTAAGTTCTCCCGTCCGTCATTACACTTCCTCTGCCGGTTAGCCGACTTTCACACCAGATGGTGCTTTGAAGAATAATTAATTGACATACAACTTATCACAGTTAATTTATTCGTCTGGATAGACGCAGGTTTGTCACTGAGTTGGCAGCTCCCCATTCAAATTAATCCAATGAAAAATGAACCATATACAATCGATTTAAAGTTCGATTTCCATCAGCCATGATCTGATTACATTTTCTTAGTACAGTGAAACGCTCCTGTCACTAAGATACACTTAAATTGAAGCCAAAATAAACCGAAAATAGTGACGTATTTCGTAACTGTACACTCGCGTCGATATTTGTTAATATTCTAGCTAAAATTTGTTAGTGAGTCATTTATGGCAAATGTGCTAAAATATATTCCATATATATTTTATTGATGTCACACCCGCCTAAGCATTTTCTTTGTTAAATGTTTATTGAAATGTTAATGTATTTCATAGATTTAGGATACTTTCAAATATGTTATTAGTATGTGAAATTTGTATGCATCTCTCACATAAAATCAGGATGAAAGTTAGTATATATTGTTATAGATCTTACTAATTTGTAGTTTTATGCTTAGATTAGGTTTTAGGACCATTTATAACTAAATAAACTATCAAAAACTACCCACAAAATAACAATAATCTTTATTTATTTTCCCACAAACACTTCATACATAGAACACAAAATAAAGCAACAGTTATTTATTATTGTAAATAATTTTCTTCTGTTGAAGGAAATTCTTGTTTGTGTGAGACTGATGCCTGTTAAAGGTAAGAGTACACAGGTACAGGTACAGGTATGTGTTACAGGTCAACAGGCCCCAACTACTTCAGATCGCCAGAAGGTCTTAAAACGTAGTGTAAATTTATGCTTGATAAACATTATTATTCTTTTATTATACATGCAGAGGATGGAACATTAACAAAATAATTATACCTAAGGAAACCACATGGGTTGTGTGTGTGTGTGTGTGTGTGTGTGTGTAAAATACTAAAATAATATTTTCTTATCCTAAAAGCCTTTTGAAAGTACAATATTTTTTTCTTAAATAATTCTATAAATTGTATTCTATTTTTAATTAACGGAACTTTTTCTTAGAAATAGTTCAAAGGTTGAAGATCTTGCTAAAACCATATAGAGAATTCTCAAATATGCCCCGAAAGCCACTAAAATTGTTGGTACACTAATCCATCGTATATGTCACGTGGAGCCTATTCAAACGCCAATCCATTGATTTCGTTAATATAAGCATTGGTAATGATTTCGAGTGACTTAATTTGCTTTATCTTTTATTCAAACTCAGATTTATGGGCACAGTAGAATGACACACTTAAATACGTGAAGTATTTGCACTGAGGCCTGGCCTACATACCATATTAAGAACACTACTACCATTTTTTTATATTGTCAATAGGAAGTCAAATTTCATTTGAATCACTCGTTTATGACTTATGTAGCCAGAATTGTGATAAAAATTGTTTTAAGTATGATATCAAAAATAGATTTTTCTGTAATAAAGAATATTAAGCTTTTTCTGCACTATCGTTGTAATTTCGCAAAATATGAATTGTACGTTATGACACGCTGTAATTATGTGAGAAATGTAATCTCACCGTTGTGATGTATATATATGTACATCTACTATAAGGCGATTCTTCTCCGAGGTGTTCGAATCCCAACGTACTAGCGCACTCCTCGTACCCTCGCTTTACTACTGACAGAAAGCTATATGAGTGGCGGAGAGTTTATTGCCAGTTCTTCTTTTCCGTCCCTTGAGAACTGGCAGTAAATGTAAAATTAGAAGCATTTAACATGTATTTTTTTTGACGTTCATAAATGTACATTGTGTTACCTATATGATTAAATGATTTTTGACTTTTTTTTGTATCAAAACTAGCTAGCTATTCACCAACCCCCACTTGGGTAACAACTGACGGACTATAGACACACATAAAGCTAATTACGCATTTGCCACACAGATATGAAAGTCGCGCCATTGGTATAGCATACAAAATTTAGTAGATAAATCTATTTTTTGATGTGACTAAGTCTCTGAATTTACCTGAAGATTTTGGCATATATAAGCGGATTCCACTGATGGTATACGTAAACAGTGTGGATTAAATCATTTGGGCCTTGGGCCCGCATCGGAATCGTAACTCAGCCGCTTCTTGACTTTTACTGTTGTAGTAAACGAGGTTTAAACTAGATGTTTATATTAATGAAATTCTTGATTGAAATCTCTTTTCTGTAAACTTCATGAGCCAATGTAGGCGTTTTCAGAATACTTTTACGACTTTGTGGAGGTAAACAACAATTTTAGTGTTTTTAAATGTATTTAAAATTCTCGGATTTATTTGGGGGAATGGAGCAGACACAGTTCTGAATCTGGTTCCCAGTTCTGTTATGTTATTGTGGGCTTTAAACGTTAAAGTATAGCTGTTTTTTTATCTTCGAGTCGCTCTGTAGTCTGTGTCTACTAATCCGAAATACTTATTGTTACCTCGTAATTGATGTCTGGTTAGAATGGGCTATCCATCATATGAGTTATTAAAGTGGTACCAAAATACGTAGAATAGAATTTCTACCAAACATTGATGATAATAATTAAAAATTGATAAATAAAACTAAAATAAATGTTAAAAGTTTTTTCTCTGTGACATTTATAGAAGAATCAGAAATCCTAATGAGCAATTAATAGGTTTCCCGAAAAACTTTTTTTGATTGAAATCCAATAAACACAGAACTCGGTATAAACATTTTTTAAGCAACTTATTGCTTGAAATAAAATATCAGAGAAGGCTAAATTATAAAACATATTCTATAGACTCAAGAAATAGTTTCAATTTCCAATTGATTAAAAATGCCGTCCGCCCGCGCAAATCCAATTTATCAAGCTTTCTTACGTTAGCACACTTATTAACAATTAGTGTACATGAAAGTACAACATAAAACACGGTTCTTTATTTTAATTTACATTTATTAACAATCGATTTGTCGATAAAAACGATGTCTTTTAATATTTTTATGCACAATACTCGAATTAGAAATTATTAAGGAAAAAGCTTTAATGATTATACTTAATATAATTACAAAGAAATTAATTAAAAATTGATGTGAGGTACTCTCAATCTCAATCTCTCAATTTATTCTTGTTTAACTATAATTGGTAGTTTCTATACTTATATTGTTCTATACCGGTAGAGTATTTATATATTTATTTAAAAAAGATTTTCCAACGCACATTACAATAAAATACTCCATCTAGGAACACAAAAATAACAATAAAAAGTGATTGTACACCGTTCTACAGGCAAACAGCATCATACATCATCAGGTGAGCCGCCTGACCGTTTGCCCCCGTTCTATAAAAAAATACTTAATAACTATTACTGACAGAGTTCTTACTAACTATAAATATGTGACAAGCATTTTAAACACCAAACTTTAGCAAAAATTGTGTATAAATAATAATTAATTTATTTGCAAGAATTTGGTACAAAAATATTATTGTGGTACAATCTAAATTTCGTATATTGTGCCACACATAGGGCGCGAAAATTTGTCTTACATAATTAAAAGGTACAATTTTACATACAAGTTACATATTACATTACATTATCAATCATTGTATCATCATAGTCAATTCTTATATTATTCTATCACTAAATCATACACATTATTAAGATATATGTCAGATTAATATTAATTATATGTTTCACTCTAGTATTCATTAATAGAATAATATTTTTTCCCAAAGCTATTAAGTTGATTTTTAAATACTATAGTAGGAAGATCTTTATATGTTTATGAAGTTTGTATCTTATATATTTAATTTAAATATATAAACTAAAATCGATATTTAAACCAAACATCACATCACTACTTATTAAACGAATGTAAAACAATCGATCAAGAGCGGGTTCCCGGTAATTCTTTAGACGTGTCTAAATTTATTCGAACTAGCTTCGCACTCTGCTTCACTGACAATGAACTCCTATCGAGTAAACAATTGATCGTTCAACACAACCTGGCAGTCGTCTCTCACCGATCGCCGTGGCGGATCGTAAATCGATATTTACCGGTTAGAGAACATCACTAGTTGTAGTAAAAGTCGACTTTTACGACTGTCTGTAATTAGGTACGTATTTGAAATTGATCACTGAAATTTGTTGGGTCATGCTTTATATTCGATAGCACTTGAAATTATGTTTTAAATGTATTTACGAAAACCAATTAAAAATATAGAAAACCGTAAGTCCAAATTTAGATTTTTGAAGTTATACTTCTTTAGGCGCGTTATGAAAAATTTATGAGAGTGAAATTTTACGATGCGCGCGCACCGTGACACAAAATTAACAGAATGAAGTTTAAAAACAACATTCGAATAATAATAGAATTTATGTTACACTTAATGTAAGAGAGTAATAATAAATATTTATTTATTTAATTTTTCAAATGTAAACTGAACTTTATTGACTATAATGACTCCTTTTCCAGTCTTTAATTATTTAATTGTTATTAATTATTTGCATGCAATCAAAAACTATTTTTAATAATGCCCAAGAAGTATACTTCTTACGCGCGTACATAAGTACACGCACCCTTTTTTTTATTTAAAACCTTCTTGGTTATACAATAGGGATTCAGGAACGAGACTTAGCGCGAACTATGACTCCGTATGTCTTAACTGTCTCCGTTTGTCTTGTATTACAAGACGCTCGAAGTATAACGTGAGCGTAGTGCTTAGTCTATGTTCCGATATACACCTGCGACCACTGTACAGAGTACCGTCAATTTAGTATACTGTGAAACCGTTTCTCTATAGCCACTAAAAAAAAAAAAAAAAAAAAAAAAAAAAGAAAAGGGGCAAGAAAAAAAGGCAGCTTTGGTTTTCGACACAGTTTTCAAATGAGTGCATCAAAGTTTTTCAATTCAACAAGAAAAACTATTATTTGAGTTTATCGCATTAAAAAATCTATATTAATATTAACTTATTGAATATAACAAAAAAAAGTAAGTATTTTTAATTAGAAAAGTCTTCATAACTTAACTTAAGACGCTCTGTATTACTTATAACCGGAAGGGAAGGAGGGGAAAAGAAAAAAGAAAGGTGTTTTATAAAAAATAAATATTAATTAATAAAAAAAAAAAAAAAATACAAGGTAAAGGGAAAAAAAAAAATTGGAATTGTGGTTGTTGGGCGTGAGCGTAGTGCTTACACAGTCTAATAAACTCAATTTTCTAATTTCCATTTTTATTTTCCAGGTTAAATGTAGTTACAGCCGTGAGGCATTCAAGCGGTTTTGATTGAGCAGCGTGATTAAAGCACTGGAGTACCTTACCTCGAAAACGCAGGCAAAAAAAAAAAAAAAAAAAGGGGGGGGGGCAAAACCCCCCCCCCCCCCCCCCCCCCCCGCCCCCCCGCCCCCCCGCCGGGCCGAGGGGGGGGGGGGGGGGGGGCCCCCCCCCCCCCCCCCGGGGGGGGGGGGGAACCCCCCCCCGGTCCCCCCCCCGGGGGGGAAATCGGTGACTTCAGCGAGAGCTGCGATTTTGGCGCCACCAATCGGATACTCATGTAATTAAAAATACAGATAATTATGAATATTGTAACGTTACAACAAATAAAACTAAAATACTGTTCTAATTAAATTAAGTCCTTTATACGTTTAAAATAATAATTTCACACTTTTTAATGGTTAAAAAACTATTAACTAATTAAACTTCAAATTATTTTTTCCTAAACTCTGAAATTTATAGATTTTGCTAAATCAGGCAATATTTATATTTTTTAGCAATACTTCATTACATTAAAACTGGCATCACAGATTTAAAAAAAAAGTCTGATTTCATACCAAAAATAATAGACGACTTAGCGTAGTTTGACAAGAACATTGTTTCTGAAAGCAATTAAATTTTCGGCTTAGCCCTGAATTAGACCGTTTTACTGCGTCTGAATAGCCTATATATTATGTTTCGAAAATCATAGAGCAGAAAAGGAACTGGAATTATTGTGTTATCGATACTGTAATAACTTTATCAAATACATAGTTGCAATACGCATTTTAGGTACATTTTAATATGTAAATACTGTATTATTTAGACGATAAAAGTCTAATAATATTGTACTGGAAAATATTTGGTTCCGATAGTTCTAAATCGCCTGCAACTCATCGGCCGGAGACGACGTGATATAAACAAACTAAAATAAACTTCATTCACAACGATACCTAAGTGATTGAGTAACAAACACTGATGATAGCACCTGCGTGCGAAATCTTGTCGTTCCTATATTAAACGAATTACGGGACGTTTTTAGGAATTTAGACTATTTAGCTGGTAGTTTCCTGTCTTTTGTTACCAAAACTGCGTCTTATCATTAGTAACCAGGTAACTGCTAGTGAAGGATTGTTGAGATTCTCTCTTTAATTTATCTGTTTCCACCGGTTTCTGTCCAGCGCCTCTCTTATTTTATAAGTGTACAGTTTTGAGGACGACGACTCTTTCACTTGATCGGTCTGGTTGGTGAACGACCATGTGATCTTTGCCTTCTGTGTTACCAATCACGATAAGTTTCTCCAAGTTCTCATCGCCTCTGCGCATTGTATGGCCGAGATAAGATACAATTCGCTGTAGGCATATGGTAGACAGGCGAGCCGCAGTATTGGTGCGCAGTGTTGAAATTAGGAATACAATTAAAATAACTAATTTAGATCAATCAAAAAGTTTTGGTATCTTTTAATCTGTACTAGTGTAGTAGCTTGTATTAGATATAATAATATTATAATATTGTATTTGCTTTGGTTTTTATTATTAATGTCTTTACTATAAAGCAATTTAAGACACCATATTATATAATTTTAAAATTGTATTCAGTTTTCATATAAAAATTAATTCTTTGAATTTTTATTGTAATTATTTAGGATATTTCTAATCAGTTCGTTATATAATTAAAACAAAATAAATTAACAAATTGACTATTTTTCTACTTTTATAATTGTATTATTAGACGTGATCTAAATAAGAAATAAATCTCCTCAGGGCGTCTGGCAGCGCAGTGATCCTGGACCCTCGCATGGTCTGCAAGAAGAACCGACGTACTAGAGGCCGGTTAGCGCAGATCTGTCGCAACGAGACTGGTCTACTTAAGGAGATCACCCGAGGTGTGTCCCTTGGGGCCAGCGAGTGCGCGCACCAGTTCAGGAATCGAAGGTGGAATTGTACGACCCAGAGGCGCAGCATGAGGAAAATATTGATGAGAGGTAACCAAGAACTAAAATATATATTCTTTGCCTTTAGTCGAAAATGCTTTTCATAGGAATCCAACCACAATATGTGTATATAGAAGGAAAGGAGATTTACAGTTCGGCGGTGGCGCGAACTTACTGCCTCACTGGCTTTGTGGGTTTGATCCCCGTCTGAAGAATCTTTCAGTAAAAGTAGGTACACATAGTTGATTTATTACGATGTTTACCTTCAAGAGCAAGTGTGTGTAATAGTGGATTTGCGCACATAGAAATATTTTAACGCTCAAACCCAGAGATAGTTCTCTGGGTTGAGAGCTTAACCACTGCGCCAAAGCTGTTGAACTCTTCTAAGCCTTTTATTATTAGTTTCCTGCTTAGCATTCATTGTAAATTTAATGAATTCACGGTCTAATGACTAATAATAGAACCACTATTTCGTCAATAAATTTCAACTAGAAAATTGTTAACTAACTCCACAATTAAGCGAGAACATTAGCAGAAAATCGATTTTGGCATTCATCACTAAAAATCGATAAATTATGCGAGCGGGCGCATAAAATCAACTCTTTAGGACTAATCGAATTAGAGATAGTTATTCGTTTTAACACAATTCGCATTCCTTTGTCCGTGTTAATAAAATCGGCAGGTAGCGATGCTTGGGCAAATTTAACAATATCTTAAAAGGTGATGAACTCATCGGGACGATAAATCTATTGGTTTTTTTATCGTATTTCAATAAATGTTATTGATAAGATGATATTCCGATATAACAAATTATACACTTTATTCCTTCTAATTAGATTCTAGATATGAATCACTATTTTAATGATATAATCCTTTTAAATCTTGCTTTTTTTTTCGTTTATATTTATTTTCGATGTTATGAGTTTCGTTTATATTTTTATCTTGTGATCGTTAGAATTTTACGCATAGGTACCTATGCGTAAAATTAAATAAAAGACACATAGTTTAATTCCTGAGCTTAGCGCTATAAAACAGTCTTCTGTTAATAAATATCTTTTAAATATTAGGATTGAGTGCTTTCTTGATTCATTAGTGCAAATTAAGTGGTATTTGTCAAAACGTGCACGAATATATGCAACTGTATAAATTATTATTTTTTAACCTTTTTCGATATAATCCAAATATATTGTGCGACGCGTCATTCGAAATGTCATCACGTTTTGCTATCAAACATTTGCTAATGTAAAATACATTAATTAAATGTTTTATTGTTCGAAACGATAGCTTAATCCTTTTTTGTTCATCCTTTTTGGACATTTAGGCAAAACAAGAATTTGGTTACTGTTCTGTTTTTTAATTCTTTTTAGCAATTATAAAATGATTGATATTGTGTATTAAGAGACTATTATTTTAAATGGATTTCATAATTTAAATATAAATGATTATGCGTACCAGTTTACAATGGGACTAATTACGGAGGCTTAGTGGTTGGCTCTAAGGTCCTGTTTTCGGTTGGAAAATATATATTTAACGTTAGTTTGTTCTTTTATTTTTCTCAAACCAGGGTTTTTGACGCCTAAGCATGGAAAGATCTAAAATATCCCCAAATATCAGAAAGAAACATTTTTTTTAGTAATTTGCTTGTAGACAGTGGAGGGGGGTCAACAAATTAGGTTAAAAGCCTATAAATTGATGCGAGGAGCTCTGGGTGGCTGCAGGATACTGAGTTGAATTAGTCCCGGTTTTTTATCACACGCTGACATGAAACCTGGTACAGGGTGTTCTTTATTCAAGAAATATTACTTTAAGCAATTTATGAATGATACTTGTGTAAGGTTTTATGATTTCGTGTTCTTCCACCGGGCAATGCCAATTTTATCTTTATCCTATTTATCAAGGAGAAATAAGTTCACATCATTATGGGATGCGACTGGTGGTGGATGGTTATGTGGGACTTGCATTTGTGCATACCCTCTAAACCCCACCAGCTATCACCCAACACAGGACACGGTAACAGCGTAGTCAGCATCCCACCACACGACCAGCCGCGTAAGTTACGCTCATAAATGATCTACGATGGACCTGGACCGATGGAATCACATCGGCCTGGTTTAAACGTAAATTTACTCAATGTCTGATATGTTCTGCAAGCCACTTCATTTCAATGTAAGTCTTTATATCTGTTTACCTAGAGGTGAGGGGTTTCTCTGTATGCAATACTACTGAAGACGACACAAGACGCAAATGTCGACGGCGTGTGTCAGAGAACTAGCATTTTCTGTTATATCCTATATTGTTGTCTCTCTTTAATCGGCAGCTCATCTGAGCATCTGTTCACACCGGTTTCTGTCCAGCGTCTCTCTTATGACAGTGTACAGTTTTGAGGACGATGAGTCTTTCACTGGTTGGTGAACGACCACGTGATTTTTTGCCTTCTGTGTTACTAACCACGATCAATTTCTCCAAGTTCTCATCTCCTCTGCGCATATATAGTTGTATTAGTAGTCAAATAAAACACCCTATATAGGCGACGAGTCGTTAATTGGTTCCTTTCATTAGTAACTTGGTGCATTCCTCACTTTGTCCTTTTTTTCTGTGTCAAAATGTTATCAATGAATAAGGATTTAATTTTTACTTAAATAAATTTATCTTTGTATTCTTACTGTCGAGTGAGCACGAGGCGTATACTTAATTATAATATTTGATTTTAATACTCGATATAAAACACTTATCACCTCATTATCGCTTTGACTGAAATGTAGAATATGTAATGAGATATTTATAAATTACTAGCAGGCATACGTTGAACACGCGTCTGAAATAAAAATACATCCAATTATAAATATAAACCATGTTTTTGGAAAAACATAAGTCGGTCTGTTTAAGAGGAGTTTAATTCTCACAGACACAAATTTATATATAAAAATAATTAATAACTTTGGATATCATACAAAGTTTAACGCCACTTCCGTGGCCGTATAGAATGTTTGCGAAGTGTTGGATTTTGAAATAATATTAGGAAGGCACAGGCTACTTAGAGGAAATTACGGCACCAATTGCAATGGGTACTGGAATGTTTTAAGAATTTTGATGATATAGTTATTATATTACATAATTATAGGCCAAATTTGAATCAAAAGGTATTATAAAACTATTATACAATAAAAATGTGTTTTCTATAATATTGCCAGAACCCTTCGCTATAATCTTCTCGCAGTTCGTAATGAAATTGAAATTATGTTATTTTATATAATAATTCAAGTGGTGTATACTTTCTATGAATAAGACTGCATGATGACTCAAAATAATTTGACATACATACATACATACAAATAATAAAAATCATTTTTATTTTTCTTAATATTTTTTACTCCAGTTTGTAATAGTTAAAACATATAGAAACGTATTAAATTATACTTATTAAGTATCGCAATACAACGAGGAAATGCTGCTAGCGATAAAGGTACACTGACTCAGGGACCAAATTTTAAATTAATTTTAATTTTCTTTTTATTAATTTTAAATTATTTATATTATAACTACTATATAGCTCAAAAAAATTGTAAATACTGTATATTTGATTGCTATGTTTATGTTTTAATAAACATTAACTTATACTATATATATGTCGTTAATTACGGTTATGGATTTCAAATTTAAATGGGCCAGGCTCAAAGTTCCAATCACATACTATAAACCTTTATTTTCTGATACTAATACCTTAAACTAATCAATGGTTCACGTGGTGACATCCGGGCAAGACTACTAAAACCTTCACATTCACCGATAATCAAGTAGTAAATAAACACAAACCCACTGAGGTTACTAGTTTGTCAAGAATCCGAGATCGTTAAAAAAAACAAAGTGAGTACACAAAATCCCGTGGTACACGCCAGGACTAAATCAAATCGTAAATAGCCGTCTTATCTTCCTAGACGCTGCGACCAATTTCCACTTATACAAAACAGTCTAATTAAGCAATAAACAAACCCACAAACACGGACTCCCAAAATATTAGGATCACGTACTAATCTCGGCGGACCATTAAGTGTCGACAGGTCGAAAGTACCACGGGATCACATAAAGATACCAGCCGATAACCCTACTACTGGTACCGGACCTCACACGTACCCACCTCGGGCCATAAATACCCAGGAATGGCTTCATATCGACAAAAAACTCGGCGATAAATTTGGCGCCCCAAACACGTAAATGTTCTTAATTATAGTGTAATATCCGGAGTTTTTCTTATATCTAATCTGTTCACTCATATGGTTGCTCCCATGCAGCCTCTTGTGGATAATGCTCTTAATTTTATATTGATTACTAATTCGACTTTCGATTCGATGGTTCGATATGTTTTTGAATGTTAATTATAACTGAATGGGTGGAATGCAACTTGATACTTCGTTTTATTAAGACCTAACGAATATGGAAATTAATAAAACGTTCAACTTATCGAACGTTCGTTTTATGAGAGTGATATAATAATACGAAAGCAATATTACAACTGCAATTACTGTTTGCCCTTATATTTCTAATGAAATTTTAGAACAAAAAGACAACTAATTTTCTCGACTTCTAATTTAGCACAATCGTGGTTTTTAATTTCGTGAAAATCTCTAATGCTAATAGAGAAACAAAGTTTATCAATAACTCTTAGAATATTTCATAACAAAAACTAATTTGTATGGCCCTCGCGATCATAATAGTGTTGAAGTTTATGTGTCTTTAAAACACGCTTATTACTTTAAGAGCTATAACATTAATTATACGTATTAAATAAGACGTGTAGCTGCATATCCATAATCATAATTTAATGTCTCCAAACGCAATGCGCCCGTCCTTTACATGACTTAACTAGGAAAGGAAAGATAACTGGACAAACCACTCTAAGCGAAGACGGCCTCGCGTCGTCTCTAGATGCATTGAGAACTAATTATTCCTATTAAACGGGCACAATTCATTCAAATTAGCCATCGGACGGCCCTTGAATAAATTCGCGTTTTTGTGCGGCTGAATGACGGTGCCCCTTCCGGTGGGTGGTTGCT